CTGCGACTTACCTATGTGAAGTGACCCCCACGAAGCTCGTATCTGGGCGCTTATGCGTCCAGCTATGGTACAGGTAAGGTTTCTATTTATTTATTTATTTTTTTTTCAAAAAAAAAAAAAAATGTTTAGACCCTTTCTCGGTTTATGCGTGTCATCCTTGCTGAGGGCCATTTCACCCCGGCGCGGCTGATTTCAGCCACGTGATCTCGAAGATCGCACGGCCGTTAGTCGGCCGCACCCCTTATTGAGTCGCGGGCTGCTCCATAAGGAGCTAGCCCGATAGTGCGTTGCTCAGGTCCGATCCCCATGTCTACGGGGTGATAAGCTGACGACGGTACCTATTGGGCTAGCTCCTTTTCACATCAGAAAAGGAGCAGCCCTTCTATATGAAGGGCTTCTGGTGCCCAGCAGGCCCCTTCGCAGCGCGTAGCAGGCTGTGCCCGCTAAGCCGGCTTGCTGCCGTGGCTGGCAGGCGGGGTCGGCAGTCGACAGCCTCTACGGCTGCCCTACTTAGGCGGCCCCGACGCCTTCGCCCCAGGTCCTCGGCGTAAAAGCCCTATGGACCCTAAGCCATTCCTTCACGCCGCGGCCCATCTTGCCGCGACGACCCCTTTTTGGCCCGCTTAGGCCCTGAATCGCGCGGCTTAACAGCCGTGCGACCTTATTATAGGTAGATTAGGTTTGACTTTAGTTTCCCCATGACCGCACACTATAGCGGCCTCGTCGGAGCCCGCGGACGACAGTGCCGACTCCCATTATCCCACACGGACGTCGGTGTCGTCCCGCGTCGACGACGTTAGGTTTAAAAAAAGTTTAGGTTTATCAGTCATAGCGCAGGTCTGAATAACTTGGACAACGTCAATCTCATCAAGTTCCTAAATCCAAAAATCGGACAGCGTATGACCTTGAAAAACTCGGGTAGAAACCCTCACAGGGGTTTCTGTCCCGACAGCGGCCAGGTGCAAATGGATGGACACCGTAGATACCTGGATCGAATGAGAGGAAAAGTTTTGCACGGACGGTAGCCCAGGTAGAACTCCCTGCATTGGAAGGGCGGTGGAACCGTCGTTGCTCGGGATAGACTTGGAGGAAGGCAGGAGGTGGCCACTTGCTGGGGAATGGCTTGGTGATCAAGGTGATGGTTGATGGGTCCTCGAATTCACGAGGAGGAGCAAGGGGGGGAAGGGTAGTTCGATTGGATTCTTTTTTCTTTTTCTTTTTTTTTCCAAATCATTCGAAAAGATTTTTTTTTTTTTTCTTAATGCCCAACCAATTCAATTACCTGTCAAATCTGGACAGGACTTGTCATTATAGTATTATGGGGAACCCCTTAGCAGCCACATCCGTGCTCAAGCCTCCAACGAGAGAACATGCGGGAGCTGCACCCACCAGCAGGTGCGATACCTGCTACAGCACGTGGGCGATACCGGCCAGGGGTCAGCCGGTAGCATCAAGACCAAGCTTCTTTGATGGACCAGTCACTGTGCCTCCCCTCCGGTCCCCTCCCCCTATGAGCATCAGCAGTCTCTGCTCAATGCCACTCGTGGGGACTAACGGCATCCCTCTCGGTGGCGGGCGCCAAGCTTGCCCAGGAAGGTGCAATGAGGCAAATGGGGTTTGAACCCAAGACCTCCTGAATGCCACTTGCCTGCCTTACCAACTGAGATAGGCCGCTGGATTCGAAGAGATTCTTACGAGCAATCCTATTGCAATAGGCTTTTTTTATTTACAGGGGATCTTCGGAAATGCAGACACCTGTCATGACCGATGAGGAAGGACCGAGGAAAATGCCAACGCTGCTCCACGCCACTCCATCGCTCGTTCTCAATTTTCAACCCGCGAATAAACAAGCGTACGGTCTTTGTCCCCGTATCTAGACTGGAAGTCACCCCAAATACGGTTACAATGACGGTACGTTCTATTCGGGGGAAGACAGTAACCGTGGTGAGAGGTGGGAGTCATCATCGTCATTCCCTGAGTGCTAGCGTACACTTAGTGGGCCCGTTAACGCGCCCCGATTTCAGGAAACGTACGGGTCACTACAGGAGCGCCCAAATTCATCCAACTAGAAACGTTTCTACTCGATTTTTTTCTGCGGCCGATAGCTGGGCCAAGTACTGGTAGTTACGCTCTGCTATATCCAAGATCGAGCTATATGGTGAAGGCGCAGGCAGCTCTATACGGTGGGCCCACAACCAAGCCATAGCATTTCCCAACCCAGCAGTCGGAAGCGGATCCAATGCGCGTGTAGCAGAGGGCCATTACCAAGGCACCACTAAAGATGGAGGAGGCTGGGGCCTCGAAACACTCTTGGTCTCGATTGTCCGGACTCATACCGAGGAGGAGGACAAGCGTCCAGAACATGGAAGAGGAAAGACACAGCACACTCCATTAAAAAAGAAAAAAAAGACACAGCACACAACACAATTCTCCCTGTTTCTCTCCCACTGGTTGAGGGCGGCTCTGCTCCGAACCTCTCCACTCTTAGGGCATGCTCATACTAGGACTTTCTCCACTTCTCTGTGGACGGAATTGCGGTCAGGTGCGTCCATGCGAGGTCGGAGAAGCGGTCATATGCATCCAGGAAAGTCCTACCGTCTCTTCCCCCGAACACGACGCAACCTCGTTTTGGGCGCACCGGGCCGGAAACAAAGCTTCTATACGTTCTTTTATCAGGGTGCGTTGTGTTCGAGAGGGGAAGACGGTAGTGGGAGTATGCTGTTATCCAAAAGCGATAACCTGGAACCACCATAGACGATAGCCATAGCTGATAGCCATGATGAGCGCGGAGAGAGAGAGAGAGAGTCAAAAAGCCACCATATTCTATACTAGAGTCTAGTATAGAGATAGCAACACCGATAGGTCTAGGGTGGGTTACGTTACGACGGTGCCACACCTGAGGACGTGGCCGCATGCAGCCCAAGGTGAAACGAAGCAGTGACAGTCAGCAGGCTATGGATCCGCCACCACATCTGGGCATTGAGAGGGATAGTCTAGCTCTTCTGCATCTGTGCTACGATAGTCCACCATAGCTGGGTGGCTTGGGCCATGAGATCCATATGCGTGCGAGACAGTATCGCACGTGACAATAATGAAATGGACGATGTACCACCCAAACAATCCTGGGTGCAAGCGTCGTCGATGGCCATGGCAGGGTCCCAAGCTAAAGGGGTTTTGACGGTTGCTGTCATCCATGTCTACGACAATGCTAGGCATCTGCAAAAGGAGTTTGAGTGCGACTTAAGTCTCCTTTTGTCCCATATGAAGTACTTCCATACTCATGTCGACGCCAAAGCCTATGGGATCACAATGAACACCCGTGATAACAATTGCGCTACCACTAGCACCAGCAACCACAACACCACCAATAGTGTCAACAGCGGGAGCAATAGCAATAACAATTACAGCAATAGCAATAGCAACAGCAATTACAGCAATAGCAATAGCAATTACGGCAATAGCAATAGCAATAGCAATTGTATAAACAGCGGTGGTAGCAATAGCAAGAGTAATAATAGCTATCAAAGTAATAACAACAATGCGTACCAGAATGGGGGAGGGGTTAAGGCAGCTAACAACCATGGTAGAGGAGGAGGTGGGAGGAGAAGAAAGGTGCACATATCTGTGCTTTGTGATGTGGCCGTGTTCTCTTGGCTCCTCAAGTACATCAAAGGGGAGGAAAGAACACCTTTGTCAATCCACACTTGCTTGCCGCTTCTAATATCTTCCGAGTTCTTGCAGATGGAGAAGCTAGTGAACGAGTGTGTGGCGTTTCTGTCCGCAAATCTGCTAGCTGTTGCGGCAATGCCGCTGGACCTGTGCGGCATCAGTCAGTCTATTTTGGGAAGACTGGCCACGTGGCTGAGCGAAGACACCCTCGAGAAACTCTATTGGGGTTGGGAAACGAATCGACTGCTACCTTGTGGACCTACAGGTCTTGGTCCTGGTGCCCCCTCCGGCTGCAATCCAGCGTCGGGCACAGGGTCGGGCACAGGTTCGGTGAACATATTTCAAGTTGCAGCAGCGTCGGGATCCACTTGGGAGGAAGGACTCAAGGGAGGAGAGAAGAGAGGTCAAATGAGAGCAGAGCGGGTGACTGTCTCGAGACCAAATCTGGCCTGTAAATTGTACAAGATGAAATTAGAAATCTTCTTGCACAAGTGGAGGGAGGACGTCTGCCGCTGCTCTGTCTGCCGCCAGTTGTTCCCAGCACCGGCGTCTGGCCTCCTGCCATGTCCAGGTTCTCAGAATGATGGTCTTCAGTGTATACCAGCCGTTGATCGCCCAGCATGTGATCGTGAACACACTGAAGAGACGGCTGCAACGGCTAGCTCGAAAGACAATAGCAGTAGTAAGGAGTCATTCCCTCCTCCTCCTCCTCCTCCTCCGCCGCCGCCTCCGCCTCCGCCTCCTCCCCCTCCCCCTCCTCCTCCTCCTTATCCTGCTGCTGCTCCCTCTGCTCATCATCGTTGTAATTCTATCCACCAGTATGACGGGCGACAACGGAGGTTGTTCGCTAGATCAAGAACCATCGGTGGATATCGTACCCATGTGAAGGATCCTGATTGGGACGTGTACGCGTACCTGAATCACCTGAGACAGAAGAAGTATACTTGGCGCACACTTTACTGGCATGTATGGGGAAGGGTGCACGTGCTGCAGTGTTCGGTTTGTCGACAGTTGTTTTCTGTTGCCGACATCGATAAATGCAGTCAAGAGCCGCACCCTACGGTTGCCAGGACCAACAGGAGGACAAGGGTGGGGATGGGGATGGGGATCCGGATGGGGTTAGACGTACCGCAGATCACAAAGGCTTTGACACAACAGCAGGCCAGCAACTCTGCAGCAGCAGCAGCCGTCTTGTCGCCATCCAACGTATCGGTGACGGTGGAGTCGGACACGGAAAGGGGGGTGGAGGTGGAGGGGAAGGAGGGAAAGGAGGGAAAGGAGGGAAAGGAGGTCGTGGCCGAACACGAGGAGGAGGAAGAAGGTGAGAAGAACGATGCCACAGCTTCCGCGAGCGGATCGCAGCTGATCTCATTGAATGGACCGATGCATGCCAATGGACAAGCAGAGAACTTCCCTCCTCCTCCTCCTCCTCCTCCTCCTCCTCCTCCTCCTGCTCCACCTCCTCCTCCTCCTCCTCCTTTTGTCCCGAGTGGAGAGACGCCAACAAGGTCTCGATGGTATCGTCTGCATGAGCCTACGCTCGCCGAAAACCTCTTCCGCTGCTTTCCCCGTAACGAGAAGAAGATTCAGCGCACGATCGCCGCCGGCCTGACCAAGCACAGTTCGGCCCACTGTAAGGACGAGTCCATATGCAGTGAACTGCAGGAAGTTTACCGGTGCGTGGTGGAGGTTGCCCGTCGACACCGAGCCGTCGTCGTGTCGCCGTTCGAAGAGCAGGCCAAGAGGAAACTCAGTAGTCAGAAGGACCCCCATCATCCATCAAGTACTGATCACAATCTTCACCCTCAACAGCAGCAGCAACAGGACCTGATCGTTGCAGACGCTGAGGGGAGGAGAAAGACCACCTCCACCTCCACGACCTGGCAAGCTCATCCGATTCGAATTAACGGTGAAGAGATGGCCCCCAGGCCGAACCGCAGTGGCTCAGAGAATCGACTGAGGGGGAACCTGCTGGAGAATGCTACAGCCCATGCAGGTGTAGACTCTGTCGAGATCCGAACAGTCATCGATCGTCCTCCACTCACTTCGAAATCCGCCAATGTGCAGAAAATTGGGGTTTTGATATCCTTACGCCCCGAGAAAGAAAGAGGGTCAAACAAAGATTTTCATTTTCAGTCGCACAGGAAACTAAGGGGGAAGGAGGAGAGAGAGGGGGTGGGGAAACCCCGTGGTTCCGATTACGAAAGTTCATACAGCAAATCCAAGGAGGAGGAGGGGGAGGAGGAGGAGAGGGAGGAGGAGGAAGAGGAGGAGCAGAGGGGAGACGTGGAGATGGAGATGAAGGCGGCGGGGAGGGAGGTAACGACAAGAGGAAGAAGGCATGCTAGGAGAGAGAGGAGGAGGGAGGAGGAGGAGGAGGAGGAGTGTGGAGGTGGCAAGCAAGAAGAGGAAGAAGAAGCAGAAGATGCAGACGAGGAGGAGGAAGACGAGGAGGAGGAAGACGAGGAGACAGAAGAAGAAGAAGAGGAAGAGGAAGATGAAGAGGAAGAGGAAGCAGAAGAAGATGAAGACGACGGTGATGAGGAAAGCGTCCGAGAGTCCATTTCTGAAGCTCAACTGGATAGGAGAATGGACGACGAGGATTCCCCCCCTAGTACTTCTTCTCACGTCGCCCGGCAATCCGACGGTTATGGGAAGAAAAATGAGGAGCGGGAGGGGGTTAAGTGCTGTCGTCTCAAGCTGATACGCAGTGTAAGGGATCGCCGCAGAAGGGGGGGGGCAGGGGTTGGGGTGGGGGTGGAGTGGCCCAGCGAAGTGCCAGATGAGTGGGAAGAGCGTTCGCGCAGCCGTCAGGGCGGCGACCGTGGTTCGAATCATCGGACTCGACTGAACGCTGCGGCTCCGGACGTTGGATCGTCGTCCCGCGACCGGTCGCCCAGTTCTGCGCCAACGGAGGCAACCGTGTGTACGGAGCTCAGTGTCGCCAACGGCTGCTGGTCGCCCGATCGAGCCCCCGCCCAGTCGTACAGTCAATTGGAATTGGCGTACGGTCAATGCGGGTCGTACGGAAGATCGTCCGTCGTCTCTGAGTCTTCCTCAGAGCCGACCAAAGCATCGCGTAAGACTACCGGTAGCAAGGGTGTCGCTACCGCTACCGGTAGCAGTGGCAAGGCTAAAAATAACTCAGCCCTGATCTGTTACTTGCCAATCACGAACTCAGGCAAAGCTGGAGGAGGAGGGGGTGCAACCGGTGGAGGAGGAGGGGGTGCAAATGCTGGAGGAGGAGGGGGTGGAATTGGAATAGACAGAGGTATGAGAACGAGTCAATACAGCAGAGTCCTTCATCAAGAGACGAGTACTGAAGCTCCTCCTCCAAGTATAGTGGAAGATAGAGAGCTGTCGTTGAAGGGGCATAAGACGTTGATCTGGTCCTTACGTCGGGACGACGACGCGATCCGAATGAAGTTGCTGATACGGCAATTGATGGCGAGCCGCAGAGATAACGGCAGGATCTCCTCATCGACCACCGCCTCCTCCTCCTCCTGCTCCTCCTCCTCCTGTAGGCAGCAGCAGCAGAGACGGAAGAGTGATCAGGTGGAGTACCGTCACGGTGGTGGATGTACACCCACCGTCGATCTAAGGGCAGTCACTGCGGACCCAGGTGGGTTGGCCAGGTGGGGAGGGCCCGGAGGGGGTCGTTCCTTCAGCGCAAGGGCTTCGCTGACAGGTGAGCCTGAGCGTGCACGTACGTGTGTGGCTATGGCCAGTAGCAGGACCGAGCATACTGTGTCGTTAAGTCAGATCTTGGCAGCGGCGAGAGATCGAGCCCCACCGAGTGCAGCAGCTCGAATTGACACTGGTGACTGCAACGCTGCCAATCTTAGCCATACTACCGGTAGCAGCTGTCGTCGCAGTCGAGGTCGTAGTAATAGTGCTAGTACTAGTGGTAGGAGTACGGCGGGGAGGAGGGGAAGGAGAAGTAGAGGTAGCAGTCCGGCAGTTCATCCTAACGACGACGAAGAGACTCAAGAGAGTGATGATCTAGACGACCATCAAAGTGAAATTGTGCAGTGTAAAGCTCAGACAGTTGGGCGTCCAGATAACGAGGAGTGCTCGGGAACGCACCTTACCACATGCAGCGTGCAAATGCAGATGACACCAGATCATGAGGATGCAGATGATGAGGGTGATGAAGAAGACGAGGATGATAAGTATGGCGACGGTGAGCAACAGAAAGTGGAGGAGAAGGATGGGGAGAGAAAGGAAGGGAGGAAGGGGGGGGAGCACAAGCAGCAGCAGCGGGACGACGAGGAGGAGGAGGAGGAGGAGGAGGAGGAGGAGGAGGAGGAGGAGGAAGAAGAGGAGGGAGGGGAGGGGGAGGAGGAGTGTAGTAGCGCCACAGCCAAACAGATTGACAAGCACAAGGATGGCGAGAAGGGAGGGAGAGAGGAGCCCTGGAATCGGTCTCCTCCTGTAGCTTCAGCTCGAAGCCACGGCAATGCAGCAATAAAGAAATTGCTACTACTTCGGCGAGACACGTGGCAGGATCTGATTCGCTTGTCTGCAACAGCTAGAGCCAGACCGCGACGTTCCTCCCCTCCTTTCTCCTCCTCACCTGCTACCTTCCCTCGCCAGCGAACTTCCACCGCCATCGCCAGATCCCCGTACCTCAGTAGTAACTATAAGCCTCGCTGCCCTCCTCTGCACAGGACTCGCAGAGCTCGGCCTGTCAGCTCCACCAAAGACCTGCTTCGACCACTAAGCTCCCCATTCCCCTGAAGCGAGTTTTCGCTTCCCCCCCCCCCCCCTCGCTTCCCCCC